CCTCTCACGAGACGCCCGGGCGCTTCCTCTTGCTGCCTCTCCTCCCTCCTAAGCCACTCACCATCTGCCACACACCACAGACACATCAACCAGCGAATGAACCCCTTGGCCGCTCCACTCCTCCTCTCCCGGAATCTCACCTTGTGGAGCTCTATTGCGTCCCCTCTGCACTGGATGAGGAACCCACGGCAGGTCCCCTGTGGATGGTGCTCCCTCAAGGCGGCGGCCAAGGTGCTGTTGCCCGACCTGGGCAAGACGAGCACCCACATCCGCTGGAGCCCGCGGAGCTTCACAAGCGACGCCACACACGCCCGTCCAAACTCGCCACTGTCAACGCCGTCAGGTGCTGACACACAGCAGACACCAGACGGATGGAGGCGGGCTGTGCTGTCTGTGTCGTCTTTGTGTTCACTCACCGTAGATGACGATCCGCAGCGACTTGATCGTCGCAGCGAATCATCGCACGGCGGTGTGGATGTTGCCGCATGACTTGGTCCATCAACGAAGAAGATCATCTGCATGTCGGTCATTGTTTGGTCAGCAGATCAGCATCGTCAGTGGACGTCATTGCTGTTTCTCTCGCCCCACCGCCACGATGGCCTTCCCCCTCTCAGCCTTCGCGCAGCGCACAGCAAAGCCGGGTGCGTCTCTCTCCCTCTGTCAGTTAGATGTCGCGTGGCGTCTATGGACAGCATATATGTCAGAAAGAGGTGTGGCTTCCACCTGCGCGCACCGATTGTGCAGGTGGACAAGAGCTGCATCACCGCAACACCGAGAAGTAAATTTCCATTTTGGCGAGAATTTGAGACGGGAGACGGCTTTCGCAAATGGCGTTCTCTCTGTTCTTCGCTTCGGCCGAGTCAGCACACAGAAGAACGCTCTTTCCACTCTCTGCTGGTTGCGTCATTTGCGCTTCGCAAAGTCACTGTCACATCGTTTCCGCGGCATCGAGCTGTCCCTGCCTGCCTGCGGAGATGGCTCAGGCTCACCAGCTGCCGGTCTTCATCGTCAACAACTTCAATGATATCAGTCATTTGGGAGCGGGCGGGTTCGCAGTGACCTGGCGAGCGCGTGCCAATCCACAGGGGGAGGCGCCACACATCGATGGCTTCCAGAACCCCGAGGAGATACCCCGAGGACCCGAACTGGTCGTCAAGGTGGTAAGCATGCAGTCCATGGGCACAGGGAGCGGGGCATTAGTGGGTGCGTTGCTTATGTCTCACACATACACATACATGGCTCATTTCCTCTGGTACGTGGCCTGGTGTGTTGTGCTTGCGTAGATGCAGACTAGCGGCGAGTTTGCCAACGTGCTCCAGTGTAAGCGACGTCAACATGGAAACATGCACGTATCTGCCGCTGAATGTGATCCTTTTTTAATTCAGTTGAACATATGGTCATGGAGTATCCCGACATCAAAGACTGTCCCAATGTGATGTCGTCGTTGGGCTTCGTGGAGGACCCCGAGGAGGACAGGGCCTACCTCATCATGCCGTACGGCGGCCCCACGCTCTCCACGAAGCTGCACGACCACGCACAGGACGGACTGCCGCGGGAGGAGGTCAAGGCCATCAGCAGGCAGCTCGTCAACGCACACACGGCGCTGCACGGGGCAGGAGGTGAGGAGAGCCGCCACATCAGATAGAGGAGAGAGGAAAAAGGCAGGATCACTCCTTGCAAAGCTTCTCACGCGTGTGTGTGTACGTGTGTGTGTGTTTGATGGATACAGTGATATACCGCGACCACAAGCTGGACAACGTGGTGGTGGATGGTGGGCTGGTGCGCCTCATCGACCTGGGGTGCTTCAAGGCGGAGGAAGAACCGTGGAACCCCATCAAAGACCCGCAGGCAGTAAGCAGACAGACACACACGCAATCGCAAGAAAGCGACGCCCACACATGGCCGTTGTCTGTCATTGGCTTGGTTTTGTCGGCTTGTGCAGTGGGTCCGAGGATTCCGGCCGACGGAGGTGCTGCTGGGGCTGCAGTACGGCCTCGAGGCCGACATCAGCGCCCTGGGCCAGCCGTTGTTTCGGACCTCATACGGCCGCTCGCCGTTTCAGAGGGTGGTCAACGGGGAGGCGGTGGACGTGGCCAACGACGCTGAGGCCCTGCGGGAGATGATAGAGGTGTATGGCCCGCCCAGAGCGCACGGAGGGATGTGGCCCGCGGGCGCACTCGATCAGGCGGAGGACATCCTGCCGGGGCAGGTTGGTGGCCAGGACAAGACGGAGCAGGAGGTCAAGGCCGAGCTGGCGGCGCGCATGACGGCGCTGCGACCGCAGCTCAACATCACGCCGGAGGAGCTTGACTTCTTCTACCAGTACGCACACACCACACACACACGCCAATGCCATGCTGACATCATGAATTCCCCCCCTTTCTTTCTGTTCGCTGATGTTTGTCCATTTCAGCGCATTGCACCCCAACCCCGACTCTCGCTACAGCGCCGACCAGCTCTCCGCACACCCGTGGCTGGCACCCCCACCCCCAGCGCCCGTCGCGCCACCTCCTGCCATCCACCAGGGCAACCGCAAGCGGCGCCGCGAGGAAGCCGCTCCTGTGCGGGCTTCGAAGCGCATCGCAGCTATGCAGCAGCAGATCGACCACACTATGAGAGGCATGAACTGCGCCAGGCTGACCGCACAGGAGGCGGCGGGCAACAGGAAGCGTCAGAGGGAGGCTGTGGAGATGATAGACGACCTGCTGCCGCCCGAGGAGAGGGACGCCGGGGTGAGGAAATGCCCGCGGCTGATGGAGAAGCGGCTGCTGGGAGAGACCGGGTCCTACGTCGGCGTCACGGCCCAGGAGGCGGACAGGCGGCGAGCGAGGCAGAGGAGGAGGGTGGCGGTGGCGGGAAGAAGGAGATAGATAGCATAGCCTCCTGTCGCAAGCAAGGGGTCGTAGTCGGTGGTGGACCGTGAGCAGAGGCCGTCCGTCAGTGGTGGGGTGGATGGGCCGCAGACAGACAGACAGACACATAGATAGCTGAATCGCATCCGTAGCTCGTTGGTTGGTCGGTTGGTTGGTTGCCGAGAGAGCAGACGGCTGCAGACGGAAAGAGATACATCGCATCGCAGCCTGTCGAGTGAGTGCCGTGGTCAGCGGTGGACAGACAGACAGAGAGACAGAGAGGTGGCAAGGAGGGAGGGAGGGATGGAGTAGCGAGAGTGACACAGGGAGCAGAGGAGGACGGGAGGGGGGGGATACCCCACTGTGTGTTGTGTGTGGCACCCACCACATGACACCGGACACACACAGACAGGTAGACAGACA